GAGAGAGATTTTTAACATAAATGGTACATACCTTTTTTCCTACTTTGAGATGATTCATATTAGTATATAAATAGCTTTTTCAGTCCATTTTATGGCTGCATAAACTTCTACTTTGTGGTTGTATCATCATTTACGTAAGAATGCTCTACAAGTGATTGTATAGATCATTTCTTATTTTTTGCTGTTCTTACCTTTTGCTGCAGTGGACAGGCTCATATATACGTATGCAAGTATCTAAAAGAGGAATTACTGGCCCAAAAGATACTTGACTTTTGTAATTTTGATAGTCTCTTCTGCTAGCTTTTGCTTTCTTTAACGTGACTTCATCTTGTTGCCTCCATATCTTTGTTTGTCATGTGCTTCCTGACTACAGTATTTGCCTTGTGGTCCCATCTCTTTTTTTTAGGAACCAGCTTAATGCTAACACTCTCCAGGAGAGTCTCTTGATAATTCAGATCAGGTCTGATGTTTATTCCCTTGCTTCTCGTATCACTTATATACTATTTCTACTTTTATGTATAACTTGATTTAATATATTTGCCTTGATTTCCCCAGAGTTTAATTTAGTTTTAAAAAAAATTAGTTCTTGTTGTAATGTTTAAAGATGGTGGGTGAATAAATTACTGATACATTATTCTTATGTTTGCTGACTATTCTACCTGGCTTTGTAGAATGTATAAAAGATCTCTGTATACAATAAATAGGTGTTTGCATGTGATATTTTAATTAAAAATAATCTTTATAGGTATTTGTAAATAGATAACTTTAACAAATACTATGCAGTTGATATTTTATATTTAAACTATTAATTCTTGTAACTAGGAATTTTGCTATTGTATCTTTGTGTGTGTGTAAACAAAATATCTTTTTTTTTTAAGATTTTTATTGGGGAATTGGGGGGATGGGAACAGCGCTGGAGAATCGGGGGAAGGGGAACAGACAAGTTGCTGATGTTGTTCTTCAGTCTAGTTGTGGAGGACGTTGCTTCACTGGCCCAAGTTGGCACCATCATTGTGCTCTTCCCCGGCGAGGCAGATTGGTTGCCGGCTTCTGGACGGCCGCTCATGGCAGCTGCTGGCCACTCACGCTGGCTGCTGGCTACACACGGTAGCCCATGGCAACCCACTGCCACAGGGGCTGCAGCCTACGCCATCGCCATCGCCCCACGGCAGCCCAGCCCCGGGTCGAGCTGTTGTTCACCATCTTAGCTGCAGAGGGCAGTGTCACTGGCCCTCATATGTAGGATCCGAACCGGTGCCCTCTGGCATCCCAAGCCAGTTCTTAACCAACGCACCACTTGGCTAGCCCCAAAATATCATTTTTTAAATTTTCACTTTCTGGAATTTTTGTCTTAAAGAAACTCAACCATGATTGGTGCCACATACTAAATAGAAATAGCTATACTTAACTGATTTTGGTTTTGTAGATAATTTGGACAAAACAATAATTTAGAATTCTTTTATGAATGTTAAAGATACTTTAAATATGAACAGAACCTAAAATTCTAGTGTGTCCTAGGTATTTTAGAAGAAGTTTGTTCCAGAATGATAAAATTTGATTCTGTAGAGGCATATCCTATTCCTCATTGTTCTTTGCCATTTTGTATATTATTCACTGGTCCTGCCAAAATGTAACGAATCGTCAACAGTGTACAAGTGCATGTCACCATGGTACACTTAGGGCGTCACCCAAGGACTTGTGTCTGTTTGATTATTGGGAATGTCTGCTTTTTGCCCTCAAGCCAGCAGCAAAGTAACATTTTCTGTGATCATTCTTTATTAGAGCATGTCTTTATTTTTAGGATTTGAGTACGAAGGGCTTGCCTCATCGTGCCAAATGTTGTGAAGAGCCAGTTGCCCCGTGTTCCTGTATGTTGTGCTTCAGCAGTGCCCCTCTTCTCAGTCCCCTCCTTCAGAAGGGAGGACTCATGACCTCTTAGGCCTTTTATATTTGCAGTGTGCTCTCCAGTGGTTATTTTTCACAGCATCTTTATGACAGATTTTCTGTAGACATTATGGAGAAGGAAGTAATCTTTAAAGTCACAAACAGTGTTAAAATTGGAGCCACTGTCATTTCCCTCTGTCTTCTTTTCTCTTTTAATTCGGGCCTGTCACAGAGATACCAGCTGGTTCTTCATCACTCCATTTCCTCACTGACTCACAAATACCTGTCTGGGTGACATCGCTGAAATAATTTGTATAAAAAACAAAAACACTGCACCCAAACATGAGGAGTGTTTCCTTAATATGATTACCCAACAAGAGAAGCCTAACTTGACTATAGAGGAAACTCTGAAGCCCAGGTTGTAAAATTGGGAAATAATTGAAAAGATAAGTGAAGCTTGTTGAATTTAACATAATAATACTTATTAAGACCTTCAGATAAGTCAATAAAAGGTTTGATTTAAATGTTTAGAAATGTAATAGTAAATGTCTCTTCAGTCAGAATCAGAAAATTTTCCTAGTCTTAAAAGAGACTGTTTTCTGGTCAAGATCACATATTGAAGCAGACACCCGTAACTTTATAAAATAGCTGAGTGTTCCATGATCTTGCGTAGGTCAAAAGTGTGTTTCTAATGGTAAAGGAAACATTAAAAAATAATATATTTTGATATAAGAGTATCATGGTGTGGTTGGAAACATTGATTAGTGTACATTGGAAAGAATGTTTTTTAGAAAGGGATAGATATGTGTTTGATGAAAATGCAAATCAGCATCACTACAAGGTACTAGTAGTTATCCATTTTAGAAACATGGTTAGATATCAGATTATTTTGGTGAGAGAATGAAACTTTTTTATATGTGATAAATTTTCAGATATGGTCTAAAAATACTACTAATGTTATCTTTGAGTCATGAAAAAAAAAGGATGTTGTGTGGAAAAAATTTACAGCACCTCCTTAGATATATAAAGGAACTACAACTTTGAATACTGTTGACTGAATTTTAACATTTTTATTCATACAAATCTTAAAAGAAATACTTGAACGTGTATTGATATTGAGTTGTTAACTAATCCAGAAAAAATTATAGTGCAATGCTAAAGTGACTTCTGATTTAAGTTCCATTGGTTAGGCAAATTGTTTTCATAATTCATAATATCCAGGAAAATTTTCAGGAAAGGAGGGGAAAATATACTATATTGAGGGAAATTGGTTGAAAGAAATTTTGTTTATGGAACCATTTCCTGGAAGAGTGGTGGAAGTTTTGACTCAAGACCAGGCCAGACACAACCAATAAAAGAAAAAAATTAATAAATTGGCTTCTTCAAGATTAATGTTTGCTTTGCTAAAGACCCTGATAAGAGGAAAAGGTAAGCTACACACTGTGACTAAAAAAATAGTAAGAGGAATACTTGTAGTGATGGAACAGTTCTGTATCTTTATTGTGGTGGTAGTTACATAAATCTTCACATGTGACAATTTTATAGACACACACACACACACACACACACACACACACACACACACGAGTGTATATAAAACTGATGAATCTGGATAAGGTCTATGGATAGTACCAAGGTCAATTTTATGCTTTAATATTGTACTATAGTCATACAAGATATTACCAATGCGGGAAAACAGAATGAAGGGTACATGACATGGGACCTTCCTGGAGTTTTGGGCAACTTACTGTTTATCTATTATCATTTCAAAATTAAAATTAAATAAACAAAGAAATAAATACATTTTAAATTAAATTTTTAAAAAAGACCAGGCCAGAAAACTTGAAATTTAGAGAACAGATTAGAGAGAACCTTCCATGCTGGCAAAATGTAGGCAGAAGTCTTTTCTATCCATAGTTTTATGAAAGTACTTTATATTTTATCGCTTGGTTTATTTTATCTACATAAACCTCTATGACCTCCCAACTGCACCAGCTTCATTTTCAATCAGCCTTCATTTCTGTTTACTTGTCATTGATCTGTAAGTATAAGAATTCAGTGTAATTTCCTGTCTGAAATATAATGTGAGAAGTAACATTAAGACAGTGTTGCTGTAGATATTCAATTTTTTGGATACAGAATACTTATGTATGAGGCAATCTATTTTTAAAAGTATTTATTTTAAAAATGTCCTTTGAATCAGAGATTAGGATGCAAATATAGAATGTTAGACATCTTTAACTTGTAATTTTTCTTTCCGTCAGCCAGTATTTAAACATTAGTATCTTCCAATCTAAAAAATCAGTTTTAAATTCCTTGTTTCATACAGTAGTGGTTTAGACCTAGTTTTCTGGTGAGGTTATGTGAAATTTTAACACTTGAGCACCTTCTAGAGGGGCTAGAGGGATACTGGGAAGATTCAGTCTACCCAGGAGACCTGGGTTACAGCCCCATCTCTTGTAGGACTTTAGGCATATCACACACACCCCTTTTTTTGCCCCTCAGTTTCCCTCTTGAGGTCAGTTGAGATCACTGCAAGACCAGTTAGTTCTAATATTCCGTATTTTCGAACTTGTTTTTAAGTAGAAATTTTTCTTGAGAATTTTTATGTGTAAAACATGGAGCGAATGGGGATGAAGAGTCAGAGAGCCTCGCTGTGCTGAGCGACAGCCCTTCCCTCCGTGCTTTTCCCTCCTGCCTGTTTGGCTGGGCAGGCGGAGCCTCTCCAGTGACAGACTTGTTTCTCTTTGTTTCAAGGGGCTATCAGCAGCAGGATGCCCATGAATTCATGCGCTACCTTTTGGACCACCTGCACTTGGAACTCCAGGGCGGTTTCAACGGTGTTTCCCGCTCAGCAATTCTGCAGGAGAATTCTACTCTGTCTGCAAGTAACAAGTGTTGCATGTAAGAATTAGTTTCGTTTTGTGTTTCAGGTGGACCTCAGACATTTCTGTTGGTGTTTTTGTTTGTTAGATTTATAATGGAAGGGGGAAAGTTTTCCTGGCCTTTTGATGAAACTTTTATGCACTTGAACTTTGTGGACTAGCATGTGCCTCCTTCTTCCAGACCAGAGGCATCTTGTTATTTGATCTTGGTATAGTTCTGATTGTCATTTGGTATAGATTATTTTTAAAGTTAAAAAGATATGTAGAAAACATTTGTACAATTGAGCATTTAACATTTTTCTTCTAAATATACTGAATAATGCATGGGAGACAATTTTCATTTACTAAAATAATTATATTTATTCACTAAAAACAAAGGCTTAAAATACTTTGAATGAATTTTCTATAGCTTCATTTTGGACTTGAATTTTCTAAAGTATATCTGTTTGAAACAGGCATTTGTAAGTTCTCAAATTTTTTCTTTCCTCTCTATATTAAAAAAACAAATCTTTGGATTGCTTTTCCAAGTACTAATATCCCAAAATATACATTGAGATTAGAACGTTTATTTTGGTTGAGGCAGGGATGCTTTACTGGTATTTCAGCCTGGATTTTGGTTAATTATAGTCTCCTTTTGTTCAAATTTTTGAAAAGTTTTGTGTTGACGTATCAGGAAAGGGATTTATAAGATGACTCCCCCCCCCAAAAAAAAAGAAAGGAGTAGGTATTATATAGGGTTTGCTGTAGTAGTATTGCCTGGCAGTCCATAAATCTGGACTTAGTAAGATAGGTCTTTTTAATGATCAAACAGCTTCATAGGTAATCCGGCCGTTAACAGAGAAGGGTAGCCAATATGAATTGTCATACTTCTCAAAATGTTTGGCCTTCCAGATCCTAGTTGCTATGATTCCATTTAGAATCCAGTACGGAAAAGGAAGGCCCTGTGACCTGGAAGAATTGTTCTTGTTGCTAGCACCAAATTAAAAATAGTATTAAATGAAAAATTCTGTTTTTTCTTTTGACTTGATTAGTATCCTTTTCTCAGAGACAGAAATTATAAAGGAAGAACTACATTGAGTTAAAATGTACTGCTTTGTAATAAAGTAGCTTCTATTTAAATTAAAGGCAGCATTGTATGTGAACATCAATATGAAAGGATCATAGTCCCTTTATTTTCAGTAAATATTTTTGGGTATGTCCTTTGGTTATGACACAGATATTAAACCTAAAACCTGAAATGGCCATTATGTTCTACAGTTCCCAGTTTATCTTCCCTTTATGTTTAATTTCTAAACAAAAGCCGTATATCTTATGAACATTTTTTTTTAAAATGATAAAGTTGCAATATACTTATTTTGCCAGTAAAGGAAGGAAGCCAAAGGAAGAAAACTTTTAAAATAATAAAATTGCTCAGGTAGGTTTTGTCTGTCTCATCATTGCAGTAGGGTGAAATTGGAGCAGTTTAGAAAATACGGTTTAGTGTATTAGGAGTATTATTGATTGCCAGCGACAGAAATCACCTCCCTTTGCTATTAGCATAAAAGTATTTACTGGCCTAAGTTAACTGCATAAATGCACAAAGGGTGATATATAGGTGTTTGTTATACTATTAACGATAGCAAAAAAAATTGAAACAACCTCAGTCTCCATTAATATTATATTAAGGGAAGGAGTATAATGTTAGAGCAACTGCTCAGGCCAGACCAGCTGTGACGTTGGGCCGAGTTACCTAACCATTTGGACTTCAGCTTCCTGGTCTGTGAATGGAGATAATTGTATCTACCTCATAGAGTTGTTGTGTGGATCAACTGATTTAATAAATGGGAAGCACTTAGAATGGAGCTTGGCATGGAGTAAGCGCTGTATAATAGAGTGCTTGCTAGTTATGCTCTCACTGTGCACTTCCTCAGCTATTCTTGTGTCCGTTCTGTGGTATGCCTTGCAGCTGTCAGTGAGGTACATGTTCAAAATATATACTTAGGGAAAAAAATAAACGCAAAAGGCAGGTATGAGCTTAATTATTATGCTAATAAAAAAAGCTCTTAACACATTTTAAGGGCCTTGTCTTTAGTAAGCACTTTTTTAAAAGCACTTTTTAGTGTAAGTTATGTAGACAAGTGTAAGCACTTGTCTACATAACTCATTTCATCTTCACACCAGGCCTCTGAGGTAGATAAAAGTTATTCCTGTTTTATATTTGATGAAGCTAAGGCTCAAAGAGGTTAAATAACATTAGAATAATTGGTTTTTTTATTGTTGTTAAAGTGGTGTATTCTTGATCTTCACAAAGGAATTATTTACAGTATCATTTTAAGCGAGCTTTTTAAAAGGCTTGTTGACAATAACATTCAGCACTTCAATTGTGAAGTTAATTACTCCACCAGTAATTACTAAATATGTATTAAAACTCTTACTTCTTTCCCCCCATATCTGACAGACAACCATCTGAAAAATCTAAATCTATCTCAGATTAAGTTGTTATTCAAAGTAAAGTAATTGAGAGCGCCCTGTAAGATGAGAGGCCTTGCAAAGATTCAAATGTAAGGCAGTTCCCTCTTTTCTAAGGGATATATTTGGGGGGAAAGGGGCCTGAGGGGGGCGTTTCATGCATGGGATGAGACTCTTAGGAATGGTAAATGTCAGTGTTAGTTACTTTTGGAGAAAGTAGTGGATTGGAAAAGGGCCAGTCAATGGTTTAAACCTTTTATTTAGTATACATCTATATAGTTTTGAAGTTTTTGTATTATTTTGTAATTTAAATAAATATAAATGATATACATTCCCCCAAAGGGAGTCACCTATAGGAGCTCTTACACATTTATTTTAGTTTTTTTACTAAAGTGTTTTCCTATGTGGTGATTTTCTTTAGAAATGGAGCATCTACAGTTGTCACGGCTATATTTGGAGGCATTCTTCAAAATGAGGTTAACTGCCTCATATGTGGGACAGAATCTAGAAAGTTTGATCCATTCCTAGGTAAGACATATTTGGTATGTTGAGATATGATACTGTATACAAATAATATTTTTTATGTTTCCTTTGAAAATTAAGACAGTAGAGATAAATCATTAAAAATACTTCAGATTTTGAAGTAACTTTTTGAGTGTGGGTATATGACTTTAACAGCTGTTTTCCTATTTCCTTTTAAGACCTTTCATTAGATATTCCAAGTCAGTTCAGAAATAAGCGCTCTAAGAATCAAGAAAATGGACCGGTTTGTTCATTACGAGGTAAGCTACTAAATTAATGTTCTAGAATTCTTTTCTCCCTCTGAAATAGCTGAACAGATTTATAAGCTCCATGTATATATGCTGTGTTGTTAATCATTTTAATGAATTTGTGTTAAAATTTAAAAGTCAATCCTGAATGTCTTTTCCTGCCCCCCAAAATTCTAATAAGAATGCCTGCCACAGATAGGAGGTCAAGCATAAAGTATTTCTCACCTTTTCTCTTTTTGATACTGGTTTTAAAAGTGAAAGTCTATAACAAAACTTTTTCTGACCTAATAAAATAGAATGTATTCTGTAGATATCCCACTAGTATCCATAGGAAAAAGAACACTCATCAAAGTTTTGTACCAGCCTGCCTTTCTTGAGACAGTCCAGGAAAAGGATGTATGACACAGTGTAGGTGGTTGATTGGTACTGCAAACAAGAAAAATGGCAAATGGAGATGATACGTTTGAAACAAATATTTTGTAACATATATGAAAAACAGTACTTGGGCAAAGTCTAAAAATAAGAAAAAATGCCAATGGTCAATTTAACATCTGAAAAAAATATGTCTCGCTTATATTTAAGAAAGTATAAATAAAGCAAAATTGGTCACAATGATCAAGATAGGTAAGATCCATTGTTAGTGAAAGTTTTGGAAAGTGGGCACTCTCATATATTGGTGTTAGGAGTATAAATTGGTACAGTTGTTTTTGGAGGGTGTTGATCACCATTTTTAATAGGCATTTCCTTAAATATAGTAATTCAGTTGCAAATGTGGACAGTAACATGTAAAAGATGTTCATTAAAGCATTCTTTGTTACTGCAAAAAATCAGAAACAATTTATATGCCCACCAGTAGGGCATTGGTTTAATAAATTATAGTATGTAGCAATTAAGAAAGATAAAGTTGATCAATATACAGGCCACAGAAAGATAACTACAAAATATTGTAGAGCCAAACGCTATCCACAGAAGTATGTATATAGAATGAATCCATTTGTGTAAAATAAAAACCATATGTACATTAAAATTCTTAATAGCATACACCGTCTGTTCATAGTTAATTATCTTAGGGGGGTGGGATTCAGGAAGAAATGGAATTGTGACTTACTTTTTTCATGCTTTTTTATTTTGTTTGAATTTTTTAACCTATTGTGTCACCTTTATAATTAGGTATTTGTTCTGAAGTTGTAAAACAAAATGTGGATTAATTCATGCATACTTCCCAATTACTGCTTTGCTAAATTAAATTATGCAGCGCATATAAAGATGTAATAACTTCAACAAACCAGTTTTATTCCCTGCTCTCCATAGGGATGCTATTTCACAGTTAACATAATGTGGAAGACTGACACTTGTGAAATATATGCCTTGAAACCTTTGAGAACCTTAGGAGTTTCAAAAACCACCAAGGCAAATTTTTTTTCCTCATGTAATGCAATAAAATAGAAATGAAAATTTTAAGCAACTTCCTCAGATCCTTAATGAGAGCTGCGAAGGTCAGCAGAGAACAACAAAGCTTTGCTGAGATAGGAATGCCGGGTGGGTAGTGGAGTCTACTCACCGGCCATGTGATGCATTCACTTCCACATGTGAGCTTTGAGGCGAAATTCATATTTATGCTGTTGCAAAATATTAAACTGTAGTACATTTCACGATCAGACTTTTCAAGTAGTTAAAATGGCAGTTGCCAAATCTTTGAATGTCAAGGATATGCTGTATCTAGGCAATCTTCCTTTTTTTAAACATGTTTGTGTGCGTATGTTTCAGTAATGGTTTTCCTTATTACTAAGAACAATTCTCTGTATGCTCATTGTAGAATTTGGGGAAAATTCAAGAGTGCAAAGAGTTAAGTAAATATCCCTTATAAGCCTATTGTCCAGAAATACCATGGCTAAGGATATTTTTGTTTAAAAACCGATTTAAAAACTCTTTTATAAAAGGGCAGCAGTTGGAACTTCAGAATTATTGTGGGTTGTTTTTAACCCATAGAAACCATTACAAACAGGCATTAGGTTTTTAGGAAAGCTTAAAAAGCTTTTTAAAACCCACGTGGAGGTGACATAGTGATGACTGGTAGTGGGGGTAGTTCTCAGCTAATTCAGCTAGGGCGTATAATGTAGCTTCTTTATTACAACTCCCTGGAGCCTGCCCATGGGCACATCAGTCTTCTGACCTGATGCAGCTGTGACCACGGAGCTGCTTAATTGTCTGGAGTACAGCAGCAGTTGTGGGGCTCCTGAGCCTGTCGCAGTCACAGGGAGAGGTGTGAGACTACAAAGAGGGTTCCTCCAGGCAGCTGGGCTACCATTTTTTTAAACTGAGAATTTGAAAAACCAGGCTCAGCTTGTATTGCTTGTTTATGAATCATCTAATGGGTCTTTCATTCCATTTTGGTTTATCACATGGCCTCACATGAAAGGAAGGGACTCTGCACTATTTGATGCATAAATCGGCCGTGGGACCACTTTGTGGTTACCCTATAAGTTTAGGCCTTTCAGAAAGGTAGGGAGGAAGAAAAATACAAGGGAAAAAATGTTGGGAAGCAGGACAATGTTGGGGGAAGACTAAAAGAACCACCTTTGTGTTGGGGAGAAGCTGAGGACGGGAAGGTTGCTGGAGAGGGCTTTCGTTTTCAGAAAAGCAGGGTGATACAGGGCCAGGTGCGGTGGCTCTGGGACCTGCTTGTGGAAAGCGGGCCGGGGCCTCCACCCAGAGGGAGGGCTGCCAGTGTGGCGGCAGAGGTGGCCACCCACCCGTGTCGTGGCCAGGAGGAGAAACTGGAGAGCAGTCTAGTATTTCTATGTACATATTTTATATTTTGGTTTTAAAACTGCAAATGAGTTGCTGTGCAATGTTAACACATTTATTTATTTAGATAATCTCAGTACTTCTAAGGGTATATAATTCCTAAAATTAGAGGTTCTAAATAATTACCAAAGGAGACATACAATACTCATTAGTAACCCCCTCTGAGTAAATGCATGTGTCCATACACAGGGCAGAGGCCCTTTCAGAAAGTAGTTAATGCAGGTTAAATGCAGGAAAAAAAGGCTTCCCCGTTCTCGAGTAGTTTCTGATTCTCATTGCCGTGTGGCCTGGGACATGGGGAACAATGTCTTGCTGATGAATCTTACAACCACCTGGTTAATGGGATGGAGAGAGTAACAGAGCATCTCAGAGTCATCATTTTTGCCTGACCTCATTTATCTGGGAAAGTTTCAAGCAGATACTCATTTTCACTTATTTAAAAAAATTTTTTGTGCTAGTAAAATATACATAATAAAATTTACCATGTTAATGATTTTTAAGTGTACAATTCACCATTCAGTAAACTTATAATATTATGTAACTATCAGTACTATTTCTGGAATTTTTTATCATCCAAAACAGAAACTGTACCAATTAATGACTCATCATTCCCTTCTCCCTTGCCTCCGTAACCTCTATTCTACTTTCTATGAATTTGTTTATTCTATGTACTTCATGTAAGTGAAACCCTTTTGTAACTGGCTTATTACACTTAGCATAATGTCTTCCAAGGTTCATCCATGTTGTGGAATGTATCAGAAGTTCCCTCCTTTTAAAGGATGAATAATACATTATTGTATGTATATACCACATTTTGTTTAACCATTAATGTGTTGATAGACACTTGGGTGGCTTCTGCCTTTTAGCTATTGTGAATAATGCTGTTATGAACATAAATGTACAAATACCTGTTTGAGTCCCTGCTTTCAGTTCTTTTGGGTATATACCTAGGAGTGGAATTGCTATATCACATGGTCATTCTATGTTTAACTTTTTGAGGAACTGTTAAACTGTTTTCCACAGTAGCTGCACTATTTTACATTTCCATCAGCAGTGCATGAGGGTTCTAATTCCTCCATGTTCTAGATAACACGTGTTATTTTCCATTTTTTGGATTTTAAAAAAGTAATAGCCGTCATAATGAATGTAAAGTGGTATCTCGCTGTGGTTTTGATTTGCATTTCCTAATGGCTAATGATGTTGACCATTTTTTCATGTGCATATTGGCCATTTGTATATCTTCTGGAGAAATGTCTATTTAAATCCTTTGCCCATTTTTTAATCAGGTTGTAAACCATCCAAGTATTTTTTATGTATTAATATTCATAAATACAGCAGCTTCATTAGAGATGTCAGTTTGTGGAATAGTAGGAGAGTCTTTTGCATGTCAAGGTACAGGAAGCAGAGGTCACTCCTGCACTGCTGTCAGTGGTTTACTTGTGTTGTTGCGTTGTAGGATTTTGTTCTTTTTGTGGCTATTTATTCTTTATCAGAGACATGATTTGCAAATATTTTTCTCCCATTCTGTGGTTTGTCTTTTCACTTTTTTGTTAGTGTCCTTTGATACACAAAAGTTTAAAATTTATCACGAGGTCTAGTTTATCTCATTTTTCTTTTGTTGCCTGTGCTTTCGATGTCATATCAAAGAAATCATTGTGAAATCAAATGTCATGAAGCTTTTCTTGTATATTTTCTTCTAACTTTTTTTTTTTTTTTTTAAGATTTTATTGGGGAAATGGGGGAGAACAGCACTGGGGAATCGGAGGAAGGGGAACAGACAAGTTGCTGTTCTTTTGTTCTTCATTCTAGTTGTGGAGGACGTTACTTCACTGGCCCATGTTGGTATTATCATTCCGCTCTTCCCAGTTGAGGCAGTCGCTTGCTGGCCATTAGACAGCCGCTAACGACGGCAGCTCACGCTGGCTGCCAGCCACTCACGGTAGCTTATGGCAGCCCACTGCAGCAGGGGCTGCAGCCTACACTGTCACTGGTGACTCACGGCAGCCCAGCTCCAGGTCAAGCTGTTGTTCACCATTTTAGCTATAGAGGGAAGTGTCACTGGCCCTCATGTGGGTTTCGAACTGGGCCCTGCTACTCAGAGCTGGCGTCCCAAGCCAACTCTTAACCAACGCACCACTCAGCCAGTCCTTCAGTTAATTTTTATATGTTATTAGGTAAGAGTCCATCTTCACTCTTTTGCATGTGAATACCCAATTTTCCCAGCACCATTTGTTGATAAGACTGTCCTTTCCCTATTGAATGGTTTTGTTGTTCTTGTCAAAAATCAATTGCCCATATATTCGAGGGTTTATTTCTGGGATCTTATTTTGTTGCACTGATCTGTGTGTCTGACTTTATGCCAGGACTACACAGTTTTGGTTACTGTAATTTTATAGTAAGTTTTGAACTTAGAAAAGTGTTGTGAGTCCTGCAATTTTGTTCTTTTTTGTTCAAGGTTGTTTTGGCTACTTGGGATTCTTTGAGATTCAATATGAATTTTAGAATAGGCTTTTCTATTTCTACAAAAAAAATGCCATTGGGATTTTGATAGAGATTGCATGTAATCTGTGGCTGGCTATGGGTAGTATTGTCAAATTACTAAGTCTCCCAGTCCCTGAAATGGGGTGTCTTTCCATTTATTTATGTCTTTATATAAATTTCTTTCAGTAATGTTTTATAGTTTTCAGTGTACAATTCTTTTGTCTCCTTGGTTAAATGTATTACTAAGAATTGTATTCTTTTTGATGTGCTTATAAATGGAATTGTCTTAATTTCCTTTTTGGATTGTTCATTGTTACTTTATAAAAACAATGATTCTTTGGTATACTGATTTTATATCCTGCAACTGCCAAATTCATTTATTAATACTAGAAGTTTGGTTTTTTTTTTTAATCTAGGATTTTCTACATTTAAGCTCATGTCATCTATGAACAGATGATTTTACTTTTTCATTTTCAATTTGGATGCCTTTTATTTCTTTTTCTTGCCTAATCGCTCAGGCTAAAATGTTCAATACTACATTGAATAGAAGTGGTGAAAGCAGCATCCTTGACTTGTTCCTGATCTTAGGGTAAAAGCCTTTTTAGTCTTTGACTACTGAGTATGATGTTTGCTTTGGGATTTCCTTATGGACTTGATCATGTTGAAGAAGTTGTCTTCTTTTCCTAGTTTATTGAGTGTATACATGCTGATTTTTAAATATGGAAAATTCTGTTTTTCTTTCCTATATCTAATCCCTCCCCCAGCCGTAGCCCAAGGTGACAGCTTTTTACATGATGCAACAAATGCTTGGTGACGAAAGCTCCCATGATTTCAGCTTCAGTGCTTACAAACACCATAGTAATAAGTCTAAAGGGATTTGTAGTATCAGCCAGTCTGTGGTGTAGTCAGTGCTCTCTAAGCTAGAAATGTAGAACTTGGGCGACCCCTGAGGGCAGCATCACTATAAGTTTGGGTGAAGTGAGACTTGCCTCAGGAAATATAAGGTTGAAATAATATGGCCTTTATTAGACACCATCCTTGACATAAAATAGGTTGGCAATGTTGGCAATGTTTTATATTCATGTGATCTATTAGGACAAAGTTGAAGAGAGGGGTCACTGCCCACTGAAGGTTGGGAAAATCTCAAAAAAAACCCCGTGAGAATTATGCTGAATTGAGAGGGGAAAGGGGTGGGATGTACATTCCAGGTATTGGGATTAGGGAGCAAAGGCATATTCAGAAATGCATGGATGGGTGAGGGTTCAAGTTCAAGATGATGATGTAAGAAGATCCTGAGCTCACTTCCTCCCTTCGGGGAAAAAAACCCTAAAAATTAGCTGAGCAGCTCCTGCACATCTGGGAAGTGAGAAGGAAACCACGTCGAAGAGGGTAGGAGAGGCTGAGACACAATCTCTTCCACTGCCTGGTGTGGTGACCCACAATCAGGAGAGAACTAAAACCCAGAGCTTCTCCCTGAGGAGAAGGGTTTGAACCCTACATCAGGCACTGTGGCTTTTTTAAGACCTGCACCTGAGAGAGGACCCCCATTCATGAGGCTGTGGTGAACTGAGAAAGGGCTTGTGCACAGACACAGCCGATAGAAAAGTACCCCAACTTTATGTGCAATGGGCTCATTTGCTAATCCTAAAGCAGTCACCTGAGGGGCAGGGGCCTGCTGGATACTCTCTGGGGGTGGCACTGGCAGGTGCCATCTTTGTGCTCTCCCTACTGCCATGCTCCAGAGTGCCAGTGTCTCTCAGAGGGGAGCTTTTACGCGTCTGATGCCTCGGTTTTTGTAGCTGCTGCCAAAGGACAACTCTGCATTGTCTGGCTCTGGTGGCCAGTGGAGCTTTTGCTCACAGGTCCCACAGGACCTCACCAATAGAGAAAGTTTTCAGACAGCTGCCACCCTCAGGGCAGAGCAAGAAGCAACAGACCCAGGAGCTGTCTTTCTGTGAAAGAGACTTATTAGCTCATCTTCATAGCTGCAGCCTGAAGGGCAGGCTTCTAATTAAACACGCATGTGAGGACTAACTGGAATCCTTGCCAGAGACCTCAGACGGTGGATGCTATCATTCTGCTCGCCCTCTGCTGTGCTCCAGAGCACCAGTATCTCTCGCAGGGAGTTCTTACACATATCTGGTACCCCAATTTTGTGGCTGCTGCCCAGGGGATTCCCCTTGATCTCCTGGCTCTGGTGGCCAGGGGCGCTTGTGTTCCTTGGTCCCACAGGAATATAACAATTGAAGAGACAGTTCTTGGCAGGCTACCATCCCCAGGGCTCTGCACAGACAGCAGACTGAAACACACCCCTGGTCTTTCTATGAAAGAGGCCTATTTGCTTATCCTGGAGCTTTGGCCTCAGGGGCAGGCTTCAGATTTGGCACACATGTAGGTACCTATGTAGGTGCTCTCAGGGAATGTAGGCTGGGGTATACCATCTTTGCCCTCTCCCTCTGCCCTGCTACAGCTCACCAGTATCTCCCAGAAAGGAGCATATGAGTATATAAGCAGCCCCGATGTTTTCAACTCCAGGGGCCACCTCCAGATCGCCTGGCTGTGGTGGCCAGCAGGGCTTACGCTTGTGGTCCCACAGGACTGTATAGATTTGCATACTTTCAAAGCTGCTGCCTGAGGGTCTGGCTTCCAGTCAGCCTGATTCTAGTGGCTGATGGAGGTCCTCCCCTTTGGGACCCTGACAAGTCTTGGCACACCCTGGGAGCTGTTAAAAATGAAATAGGTTGCTTGGACGATCACAAGTTGTTTTGAGAGACAACTAAGAGCTTGGGCAGGGTTGAATGTTAAGGTTCATCCTACATGAGGCCACTCCTTCAAGACTGGGAGAGGTGCCTGTTTCATCTAATGCTTAGAAACCAACACAGAGAGTCAAGCAAAATGAAGAAACAGAGGAATATGTTCCAAATGAAAAACATGATAAAACCTCAGAAGAAAATCTTAATGAAACAAAGATACATAATTTACCTGGCAGAATTCAAAGTAATAGTCAGAAAAATGCTCACCAGTATCGGGAGAAGTATGGATGAACACAGTGAGAACTTAAACAGAGAGAGAAAATATAAAGTACCAAATAGAAGTCATGGAGCTAAAGAATACAATAGGGGAACTGAGAACAGCAGACTGGACGAATGAGAAGAAGGGATCCGTGAACTCGGACAGGGCTCTGGAACTAACCTAATCAGAGCAACAAACAGAAGAATGGCCTGATGAGAGTTACGGGCCATTATCCCTGATGAAAACAAGTGAGGCTAGTGTAAGGCACTATGGGAGAACATCAGGCAGAATACCATTCACATTATAGTGGTCCTAGGAAAAAAGCAAGACAAAGAGGCAGAAGATTTATTTGAAGAAATAATGGCAGAAAACTTCCTTAACCTGAGAAAGTAAACAGACATCCAGATCGAGGAATTCCAGAGAGACCCACACTGAGACACATTATAATTAACATGTCAAAAGTTAAAGACAAGGAAAGACTCCTCAAAGTTCAGCAAGACAGAAACAACTTGTTATATGCAAGGGACCCCCCCCCCCCCATAGGACTATTGGATTTTTCAGCAGGAATTTGCAGGCTGAAAGGGAGTAGCACAATATTTTCAAAGTGCTGGAAGAAAAAAAGCTTCCAACTAAGAATTATCTCTCTATCTAGATAAAGTTATAATGTAGAATTGAAGGAGAAAGTCTTCCAGACAAGCAAAAGCTAAAGGAATTCACCTCCACTAAACCAGCCTTATAAGAAATGTTAAAGGGACTTATTTAAGCTGAAAAGAAATGGCTAACTAGTAACAAGAAAACATATGGAAGTATAAATCTCATAGGTACAGGTAAATATATAGTAAAGGTAGTGTATTAATTGCTTATTAAATTCATATGAGGTTCAAAGTCAAAAGCACTAAAAATAGCTGTAACTACAATAATTAGCTAAGGGATACACAAGATAAAAAGATGTAAAATGTGACGTTAAACATAAAATGTGGGCCAGGGAAAGTAAAAATGTAGAGCTTTAGAATGCATTCAAACTTAAGTGATGAACTTAAAATAGACCTATAAAAAATAAGTTGTTATATGTAAGCCTCCTGGTAACCACAAAGCAAAAACCTATTATATAGAAAGAAAGATAATGAGAAAGGAATCTTAAGCATACCACGAAAGTGATCGCGCTTTCCTTTGGCGGGCCACTGAAGATCCTGGTGTTGCCATGGCCGCCACCCTGCCCAGTGTTACTGGTACCCAAAGTCTCGTTTCTGTCGAGGTGTCCCTGATGTCAAAATGCATGTCTTTGGCCTGGGGTGGAAGAAGGTAAAAGTGGATGAGTTCCCACTCGGTGGCCACATGGTGTCAGATGAATATAAGCCCTCTTACAAAGTTCTGGAGGCTGCCCATATTTGTGCCAGCAAATACATGGTGAAAAGCTGTGGCAAAGATGGCTTTCATATCTGAGTGTGGCTCCACCCCTTCCATGCCATCTGTATCAACAAGACATCCTGTGCTGGGGCCGACAGACTCCAGACAGGTATGCAGGGTGCCTTTGGAAAGCTCCAGCGTCCACATTGGCCAAGTCATGTCCATCTGCACCAAGCTGCAGAACGAGGAGCATGGCTCTACGCAGGGCCAAGTTCAAGTTTCCTGGCCGCCAGAAGATCCACATCTCCAAGAAGTGGGCTTTACTAAGTTTAATGCGGATGAGTTTGAAGACATGGTGGCTAAAATGCAGCTCATCCCAGATGGCTGTGGGGTCAAATACATCCCTAATTGTGACCTCCTGGACAAATGGCAGGCCCTGCACCCATGAGAGTCATGGTACTGCCCCCCTCTTTACACCCACCAATAAACTATACTTCCTATCTATTAAAAAAAATAATAAAATCATCAAACCACAAAGGAAAAGAGTAAGAAACTACAAAACAGAAACTACAAAACAGCCAGAAAACAATTAACAAAATGGTAATAAGTACATACTTATCAGTAATTTAAATGTAGATGGACTAAATTCTCCGGTCAGAATGGCTGTCATCAATAAATCAACAAGGTTGTGGAGAAAAGGGAACCCTGGTGCACTGTTGGTGGGACTGCAGATTGGTGCAGCCATTATGGAAATCAGTATGGAGGTATCTCAAAAAACTAAAAATGGAACTACTGTATGACCCAGCAATTCCACTCTTAGGTATTTACCCAGAGAAACCCAAGACGCTAATTTGAAAAATACATGCACCCCTATGTTTATTGCAGCGCTATTAACAATAGCCAAGACTTGGAAAAAACCAAAATGCCCATAGGTAGATGATTGGATTAAGAAACTGTGGTACATTTATACAATGGAGTATTACTCCGCTATAAAGAATGAAATCGTACCATTTGCAACGATATGGATGGACCTAGAGACTATTATGTTAAGTGAAATAAGTCAGTCGGAGGAAGATAAATACCATATGATCTCACTTATATGTGGAATCTAAAGAACTGAATGAACACGCAAAGTAAACAAATAGTCTCAGAGACACAGAGGAAAAACTGATGGTTGCTAGTTGGGAGGGGGGGTGGGGATGAGGGAGAAGGCGAAGGGATAAGACAGCATAAATAGGTAACTACAATATTGCCACAGGGATATGAAAGACAGTTTGGGGAATATAATTAATAATGCTGTAAATATTTTGTAGAGTGTCAGATGGTCACGTCTTGTTAGAGAGACCACTTCATGGATGGAGTAGAGGCTTGATCACTGCACTGTACACCTGAAGCTGATGTTGTATAATATTGTATGTCAACTATAATTGAACATATATATATATATATATATATATATATAGTCACGGGTGTGGAGTATAGTGTGGGAGTGGAGTCAATGGAATTGTACTATGTATGATATTGGCGGGAGGCGCGGCGGATTGGAGGAGAGGGGTTGTCACTTTGAGGGGTAAAAAGTGTAACTATTGCATTGTGTTGTACACCTGAAACTAATTAAAAAAAATTTAAAAAGAAAAAAGACAGGACCGGCCAAGTGGTGCGTTGGTTAAGAGCTGGCTTGGGATGCCAGAGGGCCCCGTTTCGGATCCCACATGTGAGGGCCAGTGACACTGCCCTCTACAGCTAAGATGCTGAACAACAGCTCAACCTGGAGCTGGGCTGCCGTGAGTCACCGGCGACTGTGTAGGCTGCAGCCACTGCTGCAGTGGGTTGCCATGCGCTACCATGTGTAGCCAGCAACCAGAGTGAGCGGCCAGCAGCCACTGTGAGCGGCCGTCCAGGTGCTGGCGACTGATCTGCCTCACCCGGGAAGAGCGCAATGATAATACCAACATGGGCCAGTGAAGCAACGTCCTCCACAACTAGACTGAAGAACAAAAAGACAGCAACTTGTCTGTTCCCCTTCCCACAATTCCCCAACGCTGTTTCCATCCCCCAATAAAAATCTTTAAAAAAAAGGAAAAAAAGACATAGAGTGGCTGAATGCATTAAAAAAAAACCCATCTATATGCTACCTACAAGAGATTTGCTTCTATATCAGACAAAATAGACTTTAAAACAAAGACTCTGTACACTTGAAACCTATGTAATTTTACTAACCATTGTCATCCCAATACATTTTAATTAAAAAAAAAAAAAGCTGTGTAAACTTAGTGTGATAAGGAAAAGCAATTCTTTAATTTCTTTGAAGATCCCAGAGTTGTTGGGAAAAGTAGATGAGATCCCTGGGTGTATTGGATAGCTATTTCTGTGTAACAACCTCCCCCAAAAGACTGTAATAAGAGACAAAGAAAGGTATCATATAATTATAATGGAGTCAATCCAACAAGAGGATATAACATTTGTAAATGTACACCCAGCATAGGAGCATCTAAATATATAAAACAAATATTAACAGACCTAAAGGGAGAAAGAGCAATACAATAGTAATAGGGGACTTTAACAGCTCACTTATATCAATGGATAGATTATCCAAACAGAAAATCCATAAGGATACATTGCCCTTAAATGACTCTTTATACCAGATGGACTTTATAGACATATGTGAAGCATTCCATCCAAAAACAAGAATACACCTTCTTCTAACGAGCACATGCAACATTCTCCAGGATAGATCATATGTTACGCCACAAAGCAAGCCTTAATAAATTTAAGATTAAAATCATGTCTTTGCCAACCACAATAGTATGAAACTAGAATTACAAAAAGGTATGAAACTAGAATTACAAAAAGGTAATTGGTAAGTTCCACAAATATCTGGAAATTAAACTGTGTGCTACTGACCAATGGGTTGAAGAAATCAAAAGAAATAAATACCTTGAGACAAATGAAAACGGAAGTAAAATATGCCATAACTTATGGGGTGCAGCAAAAGTAGTTATAAAAGGCAAGTTCATAGTGATAAAAGCCTACTTCAAAAATCAAACTTTACAACAAACAAAACAACAAAACTAAACAATAAAAATCTCAAACTTGACACCTTAAGGGACTAGAAAAAAACAAAGCCCAAAGTTAGTAGAAGAAAGGAAATAACAAAGATCAGAGCAGAAAAAAATGAAACAGAGACTAAAAAGACAATAGAAAAGATCAATGGCACTAAGAGCTGGTTCTTAAGAAAGAAAAGCAAAATTTACAAACCTTTAGTTAGACTCACCAAGAAAAAAAGAGGACTCAAAATCAGAAGTGAAAGAGGAGACATTACAGCTGATACCACAGAAATACAAAAGGATCATATGAGACTACTGTGAACAATTATATGCCAATAAACTGGACAACCTAGAAGAAATGCATAAATTCTTAGAAATATACAACCTACCAAGACTGAATCATGTAGAAAGAGAAAATCTGAACAGAACAATTACTAGTAAGGAGATTGAGTCAGTAATCAAAAAACCTCCCAACAAACAAAAGTCCAGAACCAGAGGGCTTCAGTGGTGACGCTACCAAACATTTAAGAAGAATTAATACCAATCCTTAAACTCTTCCAAAAAATAGAAGAGGAGGAAATACCTCCAAACTCATTTTACAAGACCATCATTACCCTGATACCAAAACCAGACAAGGACACTATAAGAAAAGAAAAATTACAGGCCAGTATCCCTAATGAATCTGTATGCAGAAATCCTCAAAATATTAGCAAACCAAATTCAATAATACATTAAAAGGATCATATGCCATGATCAAATGGGATTTATTCCAGGGATGCAAAGATGGTTCAACAGCCATAAATCCAATCCATGTGATACACCACATTAACAAAATAAAGGATAAAAGTTATATAATGATATCAATAGATGCAGAAAAACCATTTGACAAAATGCAACATCCATTTATGATAAAAACTCTCAGCAAAATTGATATAGAGGGAACACATTGCCATATATGACAAGCCCACAGCAAACATTATACTCAATGGTGAAAAGCTGAAAGCTTTTCCTCTAAAATCAGGAATAAAACAAAGATGCCCACTCCTACCACTTTTATTAAACCTAGTGTTGGAAGTCCTAGCCAGAGCAATTAGCAAGAAATAAAAGGCCTCCAAATTGGAAAGGAAGAAGTAAAACTTACTGTTTTCAGATGACATTATGTATAGAAAACTCTAAAGACTCCACCAAAAACCCGTTAGAATAAATGAATTCAGTAAAATTGCAGAATACAGAATCAATATACAAATACTGTTGCACTTCTATAAACTAATAAACTATCAGAAAGACAGTTAAGAAAATAGTCCTATTTATAATTGCATCAAAAAGGATAAAATAATTAGGAATAAATGTAACCAACAATGTGAAAGATCTGTGCACTGAAAACTATAAGACATTGATTAAATAAGTTGAAGAAAACACAAATAAATGTAAAGATATTCTGTGCACATGGATTGGAAGAATATTGTTAAAATATCCATACTAACCAAAGCAATTTACAGATTCAGTGCAATCCCTATCAAAATTCCAGTGGCATTTTTCACTGAAATAGACCAAACAGCCCTAAAATGTGTATGGAACCAAAAGACTCCAAATAACCAAAGCAATCTTGAAAAGGAAGAACAAAGCTGGAGACAACATGCTCCCTGATTTCAAAGTGTACTACAAAGCTAATAAAGCAGTATGGTATTGGCATAAAGAGAGATACATAATCAATGGAACAGAACAGAGCACCCAGAAATAAACCCATGCATATATAGTCAATTTATGACAAAGGAGCCAAGAATATACAATGAAGGACAGTCTTTTCAATAAATGGTGATGCGAAAATTGGACAGCCATATGCAAAAGAATGAAACTGGACCACTGTCTTATACTATACACCAAAATTGACTCAAAATGGATTAAAGACTCATAGGTAAGACCTGAAACCATAAAACTCCCGTAAGAAAACATAGGCAGTAAAGAAGTGAGACTACATCAAACTGAAAAGCTTCTGCACAGCAAAATAAATCATCAGCAAAATGAAAAGGCAACATACTGAATGGGAGAAATATTTGCAAATCATCTGACAAGGGTTAATATCCAAAATATACAAAGAACTCATACAACTCAACAGCAAAAAAAAATTTTTTTTGATTAAAAAATGGGCAGAGGATGTGAACATTTTTCCAAATGAGCTATCAGATAACAAACAGGTGCATGAAAAGATGCTCAACATTACTAATTATCAGAGAAATGCAAATCAAAACCACAATTAGGTATTACCTCACACCTGTCAGAATGGCTATTATCAAAAAAACAAAACAAAACAAGAAATATCAAGTGCTAGTGAGGATGTAGAGAAAAGGGAACCCTTGTGCACTGCTGGTGGGAATGTTAATTGGTGCAGTCACTGTGGAAACAGCAAGGAGGTTCCTCAAAAAATTAAAAATAGACTCACCATATGATTCAGCAATTCCCCTTCTGGATTATAGGAAGAAAACTAAAACACTAATTTGAAAAGGTATATGCACCTCCATGTTCACTGCAGCATTGTTTACAATAGCCACGATATGTGTCCATCAATGCATGAATGGACAAAGAACATACACACCCATATTATTCAGCCATAAAAAGGAAACCTTGCCATTTGTGACAAAATGGATGGACCTTGAGGCCATTATGCTCAGTGAAATAAGACAGAGGAAGTCAAACACCATATGATCTCTCTCATATGTGGGATCTATAAATAAACCCAAGTTCATAGATACAGAGAACAGACTGGTGGTTAGCAGAGGCCAGGGTCACGTGGGGTGTGGAGGAGGGTGGGTGAAATGGATGAAGGGGGTCAGAAGGCACACACTTTCTGCTGTAAAATAAGTCCTGGGGATGTAATGTGACGACAGCATGGTGACTGTAGTTAACACTGTATTGCATATTTGAAAGTTGCTGAGAGATAAGATCTTAAAAGTTTCTCATCACAAGAAAAAAATATTTTGTAGCTATGTATGGTGATGGATGTCAACTAGACTTATTGTGGTGATCATTTTTTAACATACACAATTACCAAATCATTATGTGGTACACCTGAAACTAATATGTTAATTATACGTTAATTTTAAAAAAGAATGCATGGCTCCCTGGCCACCTACTGGCCTGTGCAGTACCCGGGCCACACCTGAGCCTGCTGGTCCTTTGCCCCACTAACTTCCCCTGAAGAGCTCTCCTACTCTGTATGGCAGCCTCGGCTGGCTATGACCTGAACACATTGAGTACAGACAATGTTGCTTTTCCTTACATAGATAGGTTTGTGCTTGCTACCCAACTTTTCAAACTAACATTATATTGTTTAAAGATGCATATATGTGGTCTATAAAGAAAAGCAAAGAAATGATTAACACCAAAAGTCAGGATAGTGGCTACTTCTAGGGGGTGAGGGGGGCTTGCGGTTGGGAAGAGGCACACAGGGAGCTCCTGACAAGCTCCACACAGGGTGCCCACTGCCCAATGCTAAGGGGTGCCCGTCACGTAAACTGGTTCCTCAAGCACTAGAGAGAATCCATTTCTTTACCTGAGTGGTGCATACACAGGCATTCATATTTTTCTCTAAAAAGAATATATTCTTCAATCTCTACATAATAATAAATTTTATATAGACTTCTGAATATATGAGTGATTGTACCAGGTGTCAGCACACTTTTTCTAGAAGGGGCCAAATAAGTAAATATTTTAGGCTTTAAAGCATGTAAAGATCTATGTCCCAACTACTCAACTCTGCTGTTGAAGCGCAAAAGCAGCCACATACAATATATAAATGGGTGTGGCTGGGTTCCAACAAATCTTTACTTACAAAACCAGGTGGCTGGATTTGGCTTTGGGCCACAGTGTACCAAGCCCCAGGTTAGACAATTAAATCATTAAAAGAAAAATACATAGCTGTGGTTTATCCAGGGAATTGAGAGTAGAGTCTGGAACAAAGGATTCACTGGAGGGTACAGGAGGAAGATTGGTAACATACCCTTCTGTAATCTGTTTATTTTGTAATAAATTATGACTGAAAATGTTTGATCTAAATTTGACTTTTATGGACTTTGGGCTTTGTCCTCTGTAATGTAAAGATACTGAGAGAAAATTGCTGATCGAACCGTGATTTCATTAGGGAACCATTTTTATCAGAATTATTCAGACTAATTCTTTCATTAATAATAGCAATCCCAACAATAATACATCTGAAAAAAAATAATACCATCTGTAATTAACTGATTATTATCAGATGTCAGACATGGTGCCAGGCACTTTGTACACATTTTTCTTCCTTACAGCAGTTCCTCAAGGTAGGTATTATTATTAATGTTATTTGGTCTTCGTTTTGTGGCTGAGAAAGGCTGACTTTTCTAAGGTCATAATAACTAATAAAGCTGAGATTTGAGCCTGAGTTGTTCAGCTTCAGAGTTCACAGTCTTTTTTTTCTGCCTCTATTAAAAACTTCCTGTTTTCATGCTGCCAATATCAATTTGGTTTTAGATTGTCTTCGCAGTTTTACTGATTTAGAAGAACTTGATGAAACAGAGTTATATATGTGCCACAAATGCAAAAAGAAACAAAAGTCCACTAAAAAGTTTTGGATTCAAAAACTACCCAAGGTAAGTGTTGAGTTTCAAATTATAAGGCAGTTGTGAGGGGAAAGTGCTTATGATTGATGGGAAGACAAATTATTTTTGCAACCATATGTGATCTGTACTGGTCTCTAGGCCTTTCAGTAAGAGCTAAATAGATGCTTTTTTTCTTTTTTTTTTTTTTAATTTTATTGGGGAACAGCCATAGTTATTGGTTACACATTGATTTCATTCTACAATGACATAGTTGATTCTTTTAGGGAGAGCGCAGCTCACAGTGGCCCATGCGGGGATCAAACTGACAACCTTGGTATTATCAGCATCATGCTCTAACCAACTGAGCTAACCAGTCACCCCTAAATAAACCCTTTGATACTGCATACTTAGATGTATCCTGATCACAATTCCCAGTGTGTGGAGGGGCGAGAGATTCCTACCACATCACCCACAAGCAGTTCTCCCACACCAGCTGGGTGTCCTACGGTCAACTTAATTCTGACACCATCCTGAGGTGACATCAGATTCGACAGGTTAAGGGCTCATTCCCACAGACTGCCCTCCACTTCAGATGCCAGTCACAAGCCCAGGTTGTTTATGCTTCTGACCTGCTCCATCAGCGGTTACCATGACCCCCTCCTCTTCGGACTTCACATGCCATTTGCAAGTCCAGGTGGTCGGTCACCTGTACTTCTGACTGGCTATAAATCAGAGGTTCCCATGCCCACTCCTTGGGTTCTATGAATTGGCTAGAGCAGCTCACAGAACTGAGGAAACCCATTCACTCACTAGATTACTGATTTATTATCAAGGATATTAAAGGATAGGAATCAACAATCAGATGAAGAGATCCATAGAGCCAAGTCCCAAACAAAGAAGCTTCTGTTCTTGGCGGAGTTTGAGTCCTGGAATGTGGCACATGGAAGTACTCTGGTTCTCCAACCTGGAAGCTCTCCAAACCCAGTCCTTTTGGATTTTTATGGCGGCCTCATTACATAGGCATGATTGAGTAAATTACTGACCATTGTTGATCATTCAGCTTCCACTCCTCTGCTCCCTGGAGATCAGGGTGGTAAGACTGAAAGTTCCAACCTTCTAATCACTTGCTGGGTTAACAGCAACCAGCCCTCATCCTAAGGTGAGGTCCACCTGTTGCCTCATTAACATAACAAAAGACATGTTTATCACTCTCATTGCTTAGGCAATTCTAAGGGTTTTAGGAGCTGTATGCCGGAAAAGGGAACTTAGACCAAATATTTATTACAAATCATAATATCATAATACTGTATGCATGGAAGAAAGCAATATCAAGGATCAAAAGAAAAACTGATAGACCTAAAATATTGAGAGACATTAGTACCACGTAGTTAATTGTGATTGAAAGGTAAATTTTAGGTGTTTACAATCTTTGTCCTTATCTCTCATCCAGGTGCTATGCTTACATTTGAAAAGATTTCATTGGACAGCATATTTAAGAAACAAAGTTGATACATATGTAGAATTTCCACTGAGAGGCCTAGACATGAAATGCTACTTACTAGAGGTAAGGTAATTAATTACCTTTGTTAACATGGTGAAAAGATGGATTTTCAGTAAAATTTAGTATTCACAGACAGAGGGTAGAGGTCATTGAGGTAGGAGATACTGAAGCCACTGACCAGTGTGCCTAACTCAGTCCCTTGTTCTGTAGCCCGAGAACAGCGGCCCGGAGAGCTGCCTGTATGACCTTGCTGCAGTGGTGGTGCACCACGGTTCCGGGTGAGTGTGTCAGTGGGCTGTCGTTGTTGGGAATAGCCGTGAAGACCTGCAGTTTTATACCACTCTTGATAATTCTCCCCGAACTCCCTAAAAAATGAATTCAGATACATTAAAGTGGGTGAAAGAGAACTTTCCTTCAGTTTTGGTGTGAAAGAATATTCCTGAGAGGATGTGAAGCATGAAGGAACATGAAAGCAAAATGGGGCATGGTTCATTGGAGCCCAGCATTCAGAATCCAATCTGGGGTCCACAAACCCTGCAGGCTGTACTCCGTAGTTATTTCCTTTGCCAGTTGACACTTAAATGGGGGGAAATGGAAAGTTATTCATAACTTCATGTCCTGTACTTTAAAGATTCATTTTTTTATTTTGTTGAATAATTCTTGATTTTTTTACCCTGAAAATTTGTATTAGGGGCATATACCTTCTGATTTCTGGTCTGTTAGAGAATGACTAGTTTTACCTTCCAACTTACAGGCCTGTTACTTAGGCAAACCACTGTCCGATCTGGACGTCCTTTTCCCTCAGAATTTTGCAGACATGCTCCATTGACCTTACTGTTCATAGAATTATCAGTTACAAGTCTGACTCTCACTTCTTTATAGGCCACCTGTTTTTTTCTTTGGAAGGTTGTAGGATCCTGATAAGAAATCACATCAGATATGTTCCTGCCTGATAGTTGATAGGGACAATCTTACTCTATTGTCTTCAGCTCATGGAAATGTTTATTTGTTCCACCCCATTCTCTCTTCTCACCTCTGGAACCCCTGTTAAATGTACAGTGAATTTCCTGGCTCTTTCACATATTTTAACTATTCTTTAATGTTTCCCATCTCTTTGTTTCTGAAGATTGTCATGGACTACTTTTCCAAATCACCAATTTGATTTCATCTGTATCCAAATTGAAAAATAGCTCCTCCATGAAATTTTTATATCGTGACAATCACAGTTTTCTGATAATTTTTTTATAACAGCCTATTCTTGTTTTATGGTTGCAGAATCTTCTTGAAGCCATTGGTATTAATTAGAATTTTTGAAGTTCTCTTTGGTTTTCTGCAGTAAATTCCTTAGTGGTTAATTGCTTTACTGTTTTTCCTGGCACTTCTCTTTTTGATATTTGGTTTATTCAGAATCATAATAAATGACGAGATTGATCATTATTGGTAAGTGGTAAGGGCTTTTCTAGCTGTTGTGAAGGTCTCTGTTGTAGCTGGAGGCTTTTTTGCCCCGGGGCGGGGGCTGAGCAGCGCTCTAGTGAGAGTGGGTGGGTCACCCTGACAGAGAAAAGCCCAGCCGGGGGAGGCCTAATGAGGGGAAGGCTCGTCCCTGGAGGCAAGTTCCTTTCTTAAACTCAGTCTTTTCCCCAAGACTCTGACTGGAAATCTGGTTCTCAGTGTTCCGTGTTTCCGCAGGCCTTGACCTATGCTTGTTAGGTTGAGTTCCTTAGCTATTTGTTTCTTCGTTAATCCAGTACCATGTGAACGCTCCTTTATGTATTCTAGAAAGTCCTCAATTTCTGATGCGTCAGAGGCACTCTTCCCAGTTTTCCAGTGTCAGTATAGTCCTTGTCATTTCAGTGGGTTTTGAGGAAGATAAATACCATCTTAAACCACAAGTCTATAGGATTTATTCTTTATAGTACTTAACTAAAATTTATTGTCTTATCTAACAAGTTTTATAGCTACACACAGTTCCTTTTGTGATTTCTGTAGTCGTTGTCTTTGACCTTTTGACTTTTCTTTACAGGGTTGGTTCTGGACATTACACAGCATATGCAACTCATGAAGGTCGCTGGTTCCATTTCAATGACAGTACTGTAACACTGACTGATGAAGACACCGTTGTGAAAGCAAAGGCCTACATCCTTTTTTACGTGGAACGCCAGGCCAAAGCTGGATCAGATAAACTTTAATACCTCCTCTATCATTATTTGTCAACTGTACCGGACAAACATTTCCAATTTTCCGTAAATACTTGATCCAAGATTTAATTTCATTATGCACTTTTCAATTTCTTATTTTGGGTTTAGTTTTATTTTGTCAATGGTAGTGACTTTTTGAACATGGGCACCAACTAATTGTTTTTTTTTTAGTTCTACCAGAAAACCTCAGCAGATATTTTGATTTGCTGCTTTAGTTGTAATAATTCAGTTTTTATATGTAGTTCCAAGAACTTAGTTCTATTTGGCTTTTTTATATTAATGTTTTCAGTTCTCACTCTGAGGCACATTTACATCAATGCTTTGTTTCTCTCACATGCTGAAAGCTAGATATGTTCCTGATTGTGAAGAACAACGTAACTGCCTGCTGTACTGGAGATCAGGTTGACTCTGAATCAAGAATAATGTGTGCACGTAAATTGTGGCCCACGAGATTCCAGTGACTGCTCAGTAATCATTCTTTTTGCTTGTAAACGATAACAGGGCATCCTTAAGTAGACCAGGTAACTGATGCTCTTGGTAGCTCTCAAGGCTGCTGTTTATCAGCAGTGAATAAATGTGTTGGTTCAGTGGTACCTATACTGAAAATTCAAGAATTAATTACTCTGTTGGTTTTTTGGTTTGGGGTATTTTTTTATGCATGTTTTCATGGAGGAGATAGGAGTACAGAAAATTCCAAATAAGACCAAATACATTTAGTGTTAAAAAAATTCTGTGACCCAGCTACATGGTATAGGTGTTACCCAGTGAGAGGCAACCACAGCTTCTGTTTGCTTTTTGGAATCAGCATCTAATTCCCCCATTAGTTGTAGCACTGGGGACAACGAACGGCATGTCCTCCTTAGTCTTCTAGCTTGGCCATCTAGGGGTTGAGGTGCTAGCCTCCAGAGTGGATTTTGACTGTCACCTACTCTTCATGTAACACTGTGGGGTCTGCTTCTACAGAGGAAATGAGCATCTTTATTACTCTAGGTTTCAAAAACTCTCATTGGCCTGTCTTGATAGCAGAGCAAGTTGAAAATATTCCCACTTTGAATAAGTAGAGTTTCTGTTCTTGAGTTTAGTAGTCTTTGTTTTAAAACTGTTTTCAAGAAAAATAGGTATAAACACTATTTAGATTTAACTCAAATTGAAATTTGGAATTAGAATTCCATCTAAAGAAGGTGATTGTGATTTCTTCCAGTGTTCCAAGCCAGTCTGTTGATTCTGGGTGGTGTGGCATTACTTACAAATTACTCGGAGGGAGAAGGAACTCCAAAATAGGCCTGGAGGCACAGACCACACACTGTTCTCATGTTCATCACTTGTCCCAATCGTTATCTTCCTCCTGTCTCAATTCTGTACAAGTTGCTACAAGGGACAGAAAGTATTTCATGTTAAGCCAGCCAACCAGACTTTCTGGTAATTTTTCTATTAAAAGAAAAAAAAGGGCAAGATTTTAAGTGTAAAAGCCAGTCTGGTGGCTGCCCTTCTAGGTTGGATATTTGAAGTTGCAGGAGCAAATGTGACTCCATTTCCACATTAATATTAGCTGCATAAATCCCACATTTCCTCAACAGATCACATCTGCTAAACACTTTAACATGACTCGGAGCAAATTGCTATTATGTTTAACCTTGTCCTTTCCAGTAAGGTGGTCACTAGCCACAAATTCTTCAGTCACACTAGCCAGTTCCAGTATTCAGCAGCCACGTGGCAGAGGCCCACACACATCTAGGACCTTTCCAGCAGTATGTAAGGTTTTCTTGGACATCACTGGTCTAAATTTTCACTCCAGAGAAAAAAGCTTTGTCAGCATGTTTAGGTCTCACAACTTAGACTAGAAAATATTAAGAGGGAAACACATATTTAAAATGGTTTACAATGCTAAATTACATTAGGTTGAACCATGTGAAATTGTGATATTTGACTCTGATCTACAAAAATGAGTTTCACATAATTTGATCTAATATATCAATACATTAACACCACATCTAGTTGAACTTGAAATGTGCATCTCCTTTGATCTTGCTAAGGATCTCCTATGGATCCAGGCTTTTGTTTTAGAAGGTACATAGCTGTAACGCCTAACATTTGCACTTAGATCGATAGTCTCTTTGAATGGGCAGCTGTTACGACTTCAACAATAAAGCCTTGGTTGATGTTGGTGGAGAAAAGCTGTCTTTTTATACCAGATGGAATTTAGCAACAGACCGCACTACTTTGTTGGGGAAAGTGGTCCTCAGACAGGCAACACTGTTGGCTGAAGAGTTGAACACATCTCTTTGAATTTTTGTAGTATTTTTACTGCTTGATTTTACTTAAGCAGACATGTTTAAATACCCTGAAGGCTCTTTGGAAAAGATTGGATCCATCTGAACGGTGCACTTGAACACCAGTGATGTAAATGTGCCTATTTGTATTTTAAAGTTTTAATTGTGTAGCCTTATCACACCTGTTTTAAAAGCTGATCTTTTTGTGCTCTTCAGGGCTTTTTCCCTTGTGCCGTGCTGTCTCAGGCATGTATGTGGCCACTTGCTTGCTCAGAGAGCTTATGCTGAGGCAGGGCCTCACGCTGAGTCACATGGCTCCTCAGATATGACAACTTGCAGAAGTCCTCCCACACACGTGGGTGATAGAAACAGTTTGTGGCAACACAAATCTCTCTCCATGGTGGAGAAACCTTTGCTTATCCACTGTATTCTACTCAGTGTCTAGTGATGACAAATGTAATAGAATTAAACCAGTAAAGTGTACTGGCCCTGGTTGAGTGTTAAATGTGTATCTCACCTGTGGAACCTACTCAGCAGCTTGGTTTCTGGGGTTGGGGACATATTTATTTCTTAAAGCCAAACCTCTACTTCATTGGTTTTGTGTACATAATTCTATTTAGATGTACTTATCCCACTTCAATCTCCACCGTCCCCCCTAAACTCTCTCATATCCCCGCTGTTACTGAAGTCGCATCTTCACTCAGGCCCTGGAAAAACTTGTGAGCGTTCTGTCCCTGCAGCCAGGGCATGGGTCCCAGGTGACCCGAGTGGAGCCCTAGTAGTGCTCCCACGGCACGGGGAGAGGTGGGCACGTGGTGGTGGCATGCTGTAGTCCAGGGTCTGTGCAGTGCCTCACGGGACGCAGTACCTTCCCCCTTGGGTCTGAGTGTAGCCGACTCCAGAGTGCCCTCCACAAGTGCTGGTTGTGCTGTGATGTAATCACCTGCCATAAAAACCTAGTTCATGTGATGCCGAGAAGGTTAACTGTGCGAGTGACCAATCTCATTTAAGTTGTAATCACATCCCCTTTCTGCTTCACCAACCTAAACTGTTTTATGGAAAGTTTCATTAAAGGTCTGGTCTCTTTCCTTTGGACTCTTATTTCTGAACACCTTTCAGTGGAGCAAAGTAAAGGATGTGCTCGCGCGAGCTCTGGGCCCTATCAATCAGTCAACAGGGAGTAAGTTCTTCCAGAACTCACCGTCGAGGCTGGTACTCACGGGCCCAGATGAAGTGACCTGCAGGGGCAGGGTGGGCAGAGGTCCTCTAGTGCCTGCATTCAGGTGCCCAAGGGAGCTGACCTGTGCGGATGGAATCATCCTGTCTCTCCTTGGGTAGAGGTCTGCTTGCCTCCTTCAGAGCTATACTCTACCCTGAGGAACCAGGTTTTAGGCTCTGAGCAAAGGGTATTGGTCGTCTTTTAAAGTGAGACAAGTAAGTGCTGTTGAAAAAATAAATATTCTGCTTTATAGTAAGCTCCTGTATATACTACCTCTCTGCCCCATGTCTCCAGCAAACAGATAAGAGAACCACCCTGTGTCCATAGCCATCGTTTTCCTGTGTTACTTGCGTGTTCCTATCAGTCTTCTAACACTGAAGACAGAGGTGCCTGCAGCCCAAATGGTTTTGCCTCCAGGTCCCGTATCGCACATTCCCTTTGGCAGCTGTGCTGGTCAGAGGATGCGCAGCTGCTGTTGCTGCAGCCAAGGAAAGGAGCCAACCAAGCTCCACACAGGCAAAAAGGGAGGCGCTGTGGTCATCAACATCCCAGGCCTGGGCCAGACCCCTCCTGCAGACACGCATGACCCGTGGGCCCACCCTGTGACACGTCCTGCAGCCGGCCTGGAGCAGCCGCAGAGGGCCAGGCCCTACGCACTTGCCCTGCCGGGTGAATGCAGGAAGCCCCAAGGAACCTGAAGGACTCCCAGGGGCCACACACTCCCACGTTCTGCCTTCTAAGAACCTGAATGAACTGCCTATATCCAGGGGTTAGCCCTGTGAAAAGCACTGGTTTGCAAAGGATTTGGGGGAGAGAGTGGCGATAATAAGGCTTTCTATTAAACCCATCTGTGCCTCTGCAGCCTACCTTTTGAGTAGAGAAATAAACTAGAGCCCAAACGGGCTTCAGCTTTCAGCTGTCATTTTGAACAATTAAAATGATTTGCTTGGAATATTAGCTAATTACCCTTTCCTCGAGAAATGCTTCTTCCATTTAGCTGTTTTGTTGTTTAAGAAAAGTCGCCCCTTCCACTTCACCTTGGCAGTGGTGGGGTAACTGAGGCACAGAGACGGTGGAGACTGGCTTTCAGAGCAAGGGAGCTGGCTACAGTGGCTTGTTTTCCTTCCTTAGCTGCATCCTGCTTTTAAAGGCAAAGCTGCACCAGGCCTGACCAAGCCTGATTTCCAGAAGAGGGTCCAGCATAGTTGCTTCATCCCTGTTACTACACACAACTAGAAACAAAGTGGTCCCGCTCCTTCCAATTCCAATTAAATGGGAAAACGAACAAAGGTAACCCCTGAGTGGTGGTCCCTGGTCTAGCAGAGAAAATAACTCCTCACCTCACTGCTACATCAGCAGAACGAAGCTTTTACTAGCAGCATCCCCCAAACAAAACAAACCAGTACGAAAAGCCAGGCCTTCACAGCAGGGGAATTGCGGTAGGGTCCTGGGTATGACCGGCATTGAAGCCAAATTAGAAAACGGACGCACGTACTGAGAAATCTCAGTTACTTTAGGAAGGGAGAACTTAACGGATAAGACCTCCAGGCAGTTTGCCGAGTGGAACTGAAGGCATTCACGAGGAGGGCGGTGTGTGGCTGGCTTCAAGGGCAAGCGTAGACTAAAATACTTAAAAATTGTTTCAAACAGTTTTGGATGAAGAGCTACCTCTTCCATCCTGACATTTTGGGAAATACAGGCTAGATACAGCAGGACACGTAATTGGGAAAATGTAAAGCCAAGTAAAAAGTTTAAAATGCAACACACAGAGAAGCAGCTTGGAAATATAAGCTACTTACGATAAATCTTTTATGAAACAACTCAGGATAAAAAATAGAGCCAGTTGAGAGGCCCAGGAAAGCCCTTTGCCTGGTGGAGGGCAGCAGGATTTGAAGGTAGGTCAGCCCAGCCTGCACAAACCATCACTCCTGTGTAAAACTAACAGGAGAGGCATTACCCATGGTTTCTGCTTACGGATCTGTGCAGACTGTCAACCTGAGCTCCTCGTAGACACCTGGGTTCTTCCTCCTAAGAGGAGAGCAAAACACTCATACCGATGTACAGTACTAGAAAATGAAACCAGCTACTACTTAGTCTCTCCCTGTGAGCAGAGCCTGCAAGCCCAGGCAGAGGTGGTCTGGCTAGCCCCCTAGAATGAAAATGCCTAGAGAAAAGGCAAATGAGCTTGCTGCTGAACACCATTGTCAGCTAAGAGAAAAAGAAATCCCTTTTAAGGAAACTATTTAACTTCAATAGGCTGCTTTTCTGCCAGGATTTTCAATTCCTCTGAACATAAGCCGAGCCACAGACTGTTGCACGTATGTCTGGATCCTGGCTTTCCCCCCACCTCAGAGCTTCAGCACCAGTTGTTAGCCAAAAATAAACCCCATTCCACAACCATATATGTCCACCAGCCCAGAGCTGGGGAGGAGCAGCAGGAGTAGGTCAGGTCCCCAGGCCCCAGCCACACTCAGTGTGGCCGCAGCGCACCATGCACATCACCCAGCTCAACCGGGAGTGCCTGCTGCACCTCTTCTCCTTCCTGGACAAGGACAGCAGGAAGAACCTCGCCAGGACCTGCCCCCAGCTCCAGGCCGTGTTTGAGGACCCTGCACTCTGGCCCCTGTTGCATTTTCGCTCCCTCACAGAACTCAAGAAGGACAACTTCCTCCTGAGCCCAGCGCTCAGGAGCCTCTCCATCTGCTGGCACTCCAGCCGCGTGCAGGTGTGCAGCATCGAGGATTGGCTCAAGAGCGCCTTCCAGAGGAGCATCTGCAGCCGGCACGAGAGCCTGGTCAATGATTTCCTTCTCCAGGTGTGCGACAGGTAGGTCGCCACCTGAGCAGCGCTGGCTTTGGCATCCAGAGCTCTGGGAGGGTTCTGGGGGGCAGGGAAGAGCAATTTACGAGACCAAACGGGCTCTGCCTCAAGAAGCCTCAAACTAGGCCCAAGGCAGACCCTCCAGGCCTGTCCACCAGGCAGTCCCCATTAGGCAGGTAAAATCATGGGGGAAACAAGGGACAAGCCTGTTAGCCTCACAGGCCCTGGAGCTGCTTCTGCAGCAGAGAAATGGGCTTCAGCTGGCACTGTCTGGGCAGCTGTCCTCCCTGGCAGCCCTTCAGTGCTGGGTGGGTCCAGCTGGGCCTGGATTTTCAAGGTCAGACCCCCGGGGAAAGTTTCCTAGATTCAGCAATCAGCTCACCCCTCCCCTCTCCCTCTAGCAAGCAAACCCCAAGGCTTGTGAAATGCAACTGAGGGAGGAGAACTGGGGTGCTCTGGGTTAGCTGAACCGTGCCCGACTAAGGGGGTAGGGGTGGTGATAAACAGTCATGGTTTCCTCATGAGAAACTAATCTTCACGGTTCCCCCTAGGGGAGGGCGTTTTAGCCTAACTTCTCAAATGTGCAAACCAAAGCTCTACGAAATCATGTGACTTGCCCACAATCTAGGATTGCCTGATTTTAGCAAATGAAAATTCAAGACACCCAGTTAAATTCAAATTCAGACAGAATAACTTTTTGTTGTTAAAAGAGTGTCCCAAATAATCCTCTTTTGATCTGTCAACCCTACCGTGGACAGAGGCTGAGCCACAGGCCAGGCTCCCTCCGTGTCAGAGCCTCCTGCCTAGAGCAGCCCATGCAAGAACACGGACTTGCTCAGCCAGTCCCAGTCCGTCCTGCCCTTGAGGTAAGGCACCCCTGGGCTACTGACAAACTAGGCTCAGGCCAGCCTGCAGCCACCCAGGTAATAATAGCTGCTGTTTGCCACGAATGGAAGAAAAGTTGGTGGCCCTACCTTTCTTTTTTAAGGCAATAGGAAGAAAAGAGAAGATGGACTTGGGACTGGACCTTGATGGGACTAGCCCATTTTGATGGGTTTAACGAGGCCCAGAAATCAGACTGGAGGGTGATATGTATGGGGGAAAGCTTGCCCTGAAGTTCCATTCTTCCTGTAAGAGAACCAGATTTAATCCCCCAAACCAGCAAGGTGTGGGGTGTGTGGGTGCAGCAAAGGGCCCTGGCATCACAAACATGTAAAAGGGCTTGGTGGTCAGGGTTCTGTGCTGAGTCCCCAGTTCTGTTACTGTGACCATGTGACCCCAACCCAAATATGAGAATTTTCAACTTCATTTCACCTGTAAAATGGGATAAACTGCCTGTCTCAGAGGCCGAGGGTTAAATGACACAGTAGCACTGGCACATAGTAGGTATAAATGAGTATCATAAAATCTGGTTCTTCTGGCAATCAGCTGGATGGTGGTGAGGAACAGCTGAGGCTGGCTGGGCAGGCAGGGAGGTAGAATAATCAGGATTATTCTAAAGGTTCTTCCAGGAAGGGATCACTCAACACTCTTGGGGCTTAAACACCTAATCCTCATAACCACCCAGAAGGTAACAATTTCCCCCACTTGACAGGTGAGAAGGTGGTCCCTCAGACATTTGTCCTGGGTCAGACAGAAAGTAAATCACAGGCAAGCCACTTGAGCTCTCTGGGCGTTTCTTCAATCACAAAACTAAGGGTATAGAGGTTGACGGTGAAGACAAGGCAGGCAAGTGAATTGGGAAGATGGGATGGGTTCAGCGTGTGAGATGTGGCTGTGCCGTCTACGATAGTTCCTTATCCCGGTCCCCAGGCACAAGGGAGCCGAGCTGGCCCAGGCAGGTGCAGTGAAGGGACTCAGGGGGAGGCTGATATGGAAGCAAAAGGGAAGCGGCAACTCCTGTTCCGGACTCCAGCTCCCTCTGGCTACAGGGAGCCCATGACAGGTCCTTCTGGAATGCAAGCAGTCTGGTTCTGTTTACTGCAGGAAGAGGTTTAGAATTGCCCATGAAGGCCCTGTGCAGGCTCTTCACATCCCAAATCTCACACCTCACTGGCAAGCATTCTTCCCTCCCTACCGCTGCCCCACCAGGAAAATGGGCTCAGTCAGTGGCTCAGCCCACGGCACACTGCAAATCAGCCAAATGCAACTCTGCTGAAGATCTTTTTCTCCATCAGGTGCTGATAGTAAGGTTGAGGCAGAGGGGCCGCCAAGCTTTCTGGACAAGCCACCTCTGTGTCCTTGACTGCTCACCTCAGGCATCGTTTCTAGCTACCTCCCTCCGGTTAATGACCTTTTCTAGCCTGGGGTCGTCACAGTGGAGATACAATAACTGAAACCAAGGCTTGAGAAACCAGAGCCAATACTCAGTAACGCCCCCGCCCCCATCTCCCCACCTCAAGGGTTGGAATGGGCCTGTCTCTAAGCCACCCCCACAGGAAACCCTTCCTCCGTCTGCCAGGAGCGTCAGGGCCTCAGCTTAAAGCTAGACTGGCGCGGTCACCACCCACGGCAACAAGTCCAGAGAAAAGTAAAAAAACCTACAGTTGTCCCTCCTTGAAACAGCATCCCTTCCCCACTGGGGGCTCCTGGGGCTAAGAGCCCACGCAGATTAAGGTATGGTGAGTGGAATGGTAGAAGAGCAGGGGAAATACGACATAAGACCTCGTTCAGATCCTGGCCGCGACATCGCGGGCGGCAATGTCCTTAAACTCGGTGGGCCCGGTTCCTCCGCTGCAGACCGCGGCGAGTCCTGCCAGGACTCCCAGGGCTGTTCGTGGACCACCGAGCCAGTGAGCTCCAGCACGGGCGTGGCCGGGGGCGGGCTAACGGCACCCTGCTCAACCGGAACCCGCGTGGTCACCGCGTTCTCTCCGCAGATGCCCCAACCTGACATCCGTCACGCTGTCGGGCTGCGGCCACGTCACCGACGACTGCCTGGCGCGCCTGCTGCGATGCTGCCCGCGCCTGCGCGTGCTTCGCTTGGAAAACTGCGCGCGCGTCACCAACCGCACGCTGGCGGCAGTGGCGGCGCACGGGCGCGCGCTACAGACGCTGCACGTGGACTTCTGCCGCAACGTGAGCGCGGCCGGCCTGCGCCGCCTGCGTGCCGCCTGCCCGCGCCTGGCTCTGCGCGCCGAGCACAGCGCAGCCATGATACCCGACCAGCTCCCGCGCGGCCTGCTGGCGCCCGCCCCGGCCCTCCGCAAGCTGCTCCCGCGCTAGGCCGCGGAAAGACACCGGCTACAGCCCCGAGAGGAAGGAGCGACCTGGCTCCCAACCCCAGCTCCTCCCTCTCTGATTGTTGCCACCCGTTGAGCCTCAGTTTCCCCGTCTGCAAAGTGGGGATACGAATGCCTACCTCATATTACAATTTTATACATAGAATGAGTGCGAGATTAAATGACCGGATGCTTGGAAAAACAGGTGGTTCTCACTAAACACCAGCACCTTTCCCGTCTCTCTTCCGCAGCAGCGGGAGGCGCCTACACCCTCGGGAACTGCGACCCCGGTTGGAAACGTGGCCACTTGAGCTCGCTGGCTACGCTCAGGCATAAGCGCGCGCGCGCTGAGGGAGTGGCGGGGATTCGGGGCTGCCAAGAGCAGGCCGCCCTGGTGACAGGGGACAGTGGTCCCGGCGGCCGGCCGCTCTCCCCAGCGGCCCTCGGAAGCCCCGTCGACTGCGCAGGCACAGGCTTTCCGGGAAAGTGGCCTCAGAGCTGCGCCAGCGGGCGGTAGGAGGGGAGGAACCCAGACAGAGGGCCCGAGAGTCGCCCAACGTGCGACAGAAGCTCCCAAGGGAGCTGGGCGAGCGACGCCAGGGCCCCGCCTCCTCGGCTCCCACCCGCGGCTTTGCTGCGCGCCTTTGCGGGCCGGCTCACTTTTCCTCGGGCAGGTGCATTCCTAGGAGTTGACTACACACACGATTCTGGAAAAATCGCTTGTGATTCTTCCATAAATTGCATAGTTATAATTTTTTGTTTTTACCGTTCTCATAAAGGAAAAAGAAGCTCGAAAACCCCAAAAGTAAAAAACAAAAGCAGCGGCCCTGATTAGATTATTTGAACAATGAAACCATTATAAGCTGATGCAAAGATTTTTACCTGCTGGATTTGCTGAATGTGGGCACACGCCTGGTCTTCAATTTCAGGGCTTTAGTCACTCATGTACTACTTTTAGCCACCAAAGGCTCTCAGCTAGCTACCCAGCAGCCTCTTGGTCCCAGGTACACGGGGAAAACTGCGAAGTGGGGAAGGCAGGGAGCAGTAAGGAATGGTGGTCGATGCTCACACTCAGGCTCCACCCATCACCAGCTGTGACCGAAGCCCTTTACTCACCTGAGGCCAGGCGTTTCTTGTTTGTGAAAAGGGATCTTGATCCCTACTCACGGGTTCCTTATTTTGTTGCCCAAGTTATTGGGGAAACAGCAAGGAAACAGTTCTAGTCTCGTGCTTACATGCTAGTAGGGGAAGAGGCAGTAAGTACAGTCCTCACTTGAACCTCTTGATAGGTTCTTGAAACTGCAGTGAATGGACATATACTGAAACTGATTTTACCATTGGCTAAGTGATATAAACAAGAGTTAATTTCCTACGGCATCTAATCAACATAACAAAATGTAGAACGTTATTTGAGGACTTGCTGTAATTGTTATATAAGAAGATAAGTATGGGAGGGGGGAAGCACAGGGTAAGGGGGAGCTGCTTCAAAGGGATTGACCAATGTAAGCCTCATTGAGAAAGTGGCATTTGAGATCTTATGTGAGGGAGGGAGCCGGGCAGCATCTGGGAGGAAAATATTCCAGAAAGAACAGCCAGCGCAAAGGCCCCAGACAAGAAGCAAGGCTGGTGGTATGTTAGGGGAATAGTGTGGCTGCAGCAGAGAGGAGGAAAGGCAAGGAGAGGGGGTCAGAGAAATAAGGGGTGGGGGAGGCGGGAGGCCTCCCAGGTTGTTGTGAGGAGGAAATGAGAGCTGGGTATCCCCCACTCAGCCTACCCCCAGGAGGAACCAGGCAGAGATGAGATCCAGGTGAAGATCGGGAGAGGAGGCGCTGAAATTTCTCCAAGTAGCACCTGTGGGCAGGCAACACAACCCCACCCCACCCCACCCCCTCCAGAGACTGCTCAAGGCTTCAGTTGCTGCTCCTCAGCCCCTGCTTGAGCCAGTGCTTAGCCTGGACACTAAGAGTGTTGGCACTGAGCCCAGGCCTTGCATAACACCTCATCCCCTAGGGGGCAGAGCCAGCCCCTCAGGGGGCCACCTGCAGTGGAATGTGACGGCCACCAGCTTCCTCCACGATTTTTACAGTTCACTCACCATGCTCTGGGCTACGGGAGAGGCCTTGTAGGAACTTCATTTTTCTCCCATTATTGCAAACAATGTTGAAAGAAACCTCAGGCTTCCAGGGGGTTAAATGTTTATTTAAAATGGAGCCACCTAAGCCCCAGGGCTTTGCTTTTGTCATCTCTGATGAGACCCAATTCCCACCAGGCCATTTGCCTGAGTTGGTGGTTTAGTCTGGAGAGCAAGCTCTCCTCTGACCAAGGACAGGTCAGCCCTCTCCAAACCTTCGGTTTCTTATCTGTGTATTGGGATAGCTAGAGACAATTGCTCCCAGGGTTTTTGTAAGGAGTATGAGATTGTGTTTGTAAAGCAGTGGTCACTGCAAGTTCAGCTGGAGTGGGGTAACCTGCATTCCCAAGGCCTCTTTCCCCATGGAAGCTATTTTATAAATGACAGTTAAGTTCCCTAACTGAACCTTTGATGCCTAGTAAACCCCACATACCAAGACTGTAGTGATCACGGAACTAAAGCTGTGCTGACAGCTATGTTCCACATAATTTCTAGGGCTCTAATTTGGCCCCGCCCCCTCCAGGGGAGCATTGGGTCTCTGAGCCAAGGGCCATCTGAGGTGCTCCCAGAAGGCGGGCACTGACAGAGACGCATGGCTCCCCACTCTGCCTTCTAATGTCACTGCTCACTGTCAGCATGCACTGAGCAAAGCACTTGACAGAACACAGTGCCCTGCTTAATCTAAAAACGGCTTCCCAGGTGTTCTCTCAGATTTGCATAGAACAAGGAGCACTGCACGCTTAATTAATCCACCGACTCGTTCGTCTTGCAAACATTTACTGGGTATTGGCCATAGGCTGGGCCAGGCCCTACCCCAAGGGACTCACTCTGGTCAGGACATACAGCTGGGGTTGAGGCGACTGTCCATAACTTCTGACAAGTTATAACCTCTCTGAAGTTCGGTTTCATTATCTGTAAAATAGAATCAGTCCCCTCTCTGTGACATGGTGATGCAATTATGTCTAAATGTGCAGTGCCTGGAAGGTAGGAGTGGGTAAAGGCACCCTCACCACCGTGGGGGGCTGGAAAAGCCAAGTGCCTGGCGGAACCCACAAGGCACACACACTGGAAAGAAGCCAGCTGAGTCTACACAGGGGTGATCCAGGATCGTCTGACAGAGGGACAGAGCCTTTGAGCAGGGCCTGGAAGACTGACTCCAGCTCCCACATGTTCCAGTGGTGGGGTGTTCCTATCAGCAGGCACAGCTCAGCAAAGGCAGGATCAGGGAGCTCAAGGCATGTCCAGAGAAGGGTGAGCTGGGGAGTTGAGAGCCTGTCTGTGTTCCAGAGACACTTGGACATGGCTTGGGGTTATCTATGCCCTCACAGCCTCAATCACGACAGACCACAGACTTTCCTCAGCTCCTGAAGGCTAACTCTTGTCACTCTCAGTTTGGGCCAAGGTGGCCAATGGCCACATAGAGGGAAAGCAAGGCGAGGATGCAGTACCTCAGCACTGCGGCAGGACAGTGTCTCCTGGCTGGGGCTGACCCAGTCACCACATTGTGCTGGCTGGTCTGCACAGGAACCTCAGTGCCAGCAGAGACTGGGGCCACATGCTCTAAAGTCAGGGGCCCCAGACTGCTTCCCTGAGAGGCGGGGCCTGCTGGGGTGATGCTCTGAGGCCTGTCTTGCAGACCCATTTCTGTACAGGCTGAATATCTGGAGGCTGGCTGAGCCCTCTCAGCTCCACCACTGGTGCTGACAGGAAGCCAGGGCTCCCAGTTCTAGCCTGTATTCACCCATGATATCACACTTTCCCTCTCCTGACCTCGGTCTGTAAAGGGAGAGATCACCTGATCTCTTAGCTCTACGATTCCTCCAGCTCTCGGACTCCATGCCCAAGAATTGCTTTTTGCTAAAAACTTGAGTTCACCAGATGTAGGTTTCATCTGGCTGGCAGTGCTGGGCAAAGGCCACACAGCTGAGGGGCCCAGAACAAAGCTGTACCTTGAAGGGCCCCTGGGGAAATCTTGAATTTTAAAGGCTGGACGGAGGTCAAAGTTCTCTTGCGACTGTTTAAGAGTTATAAAAACTGCAAGTATTTGTTAACTGCATGAGTCCAGCAAACAGAAAAACTGCCCAAGCCTCCAGAGAGGCTAAAAGTGAACTAAGGAAAATAAACACCTTCACTAAGCTCATTTCAGCTCCTCAAATAAGGACTCACGTCTCCCCCTTAACCAGAGGTTCCAAAAGTCAAGAGAATGGAAAAAAAAAAAAAAAAAAGACAGGTTCCAGTAAAGAAATGGCATCTGTCATAAAACTGAGGCATCTGTGCCGATTTTCCTTGCAAGGTCAGACCTCCCGAGAAGCTGACCATGAGGCCCGACAGGTAGGACCTGGAACCATGAGTGTCAGCCAGCTGGGGGTGCCGCGGCCCCTCAGTCCAGAGCCTGTGGCAGCAGAGGCCAGAACCTCACAGGGTTGGAGCATTACTTTGATTTAATCTCTGAGATTGCAGATGTATCCTTCAGCTTAGCATACCCTCAGCCCAGCAAGAGAGAAGACTCACTTGTCACCAGGAACCAGCCCAGAAAGCCCTAAAAGACCCCTCTGTGTTGTTCAGGATCTCAGCAGCACACGGAGGCCACTCTTCTCTCAAAAAGGTTCCCTCCTGGTCCAGAGACCTGGGCAGTACCGTCCCACCCCAAGAGTGAGTGCTTCAAACACACAGCCCTTCACTGCTGCTCCTGACTGAGCTCTCAGATCAAGTATTAAAGGTTTGTCTTTTCCCAGAACCCCCTGGGGTTCCCCAGAAGTTGTGGTCTCCCTCTGAGACCCAGTTCCAATTGAAGCCTCTTTTCAATAAAACTAAGATGTCACCTTTCTAAATATTATTAGATATTCACGCTGGGAAAGACCCATGCCCCATATTATCTCAGCCAACAAAACCCTATTTTTCTTGCCATTTCTCTTTGAAAATACATACCTTCTACCTTCCTTATGGAAAACAATTGCCTGCAAGGCTCTCCGTCTGGCACCTCATTTGAGCAGGATGTCAGCCTTGACCTTGTCCATGAAGTATACTGGAAGCAGCTTGTGGCTTGAATATGCTGTAGATGAAGGAGACAAGCCACCCAAAGGCCTTTCCCTCTTCCTGTGCCCACTCCCGGCAGCCAAAGCCTTCACAGCTGCTCTCAAGATGGCCCTTTCCCCCAGAACCACATGCTTTCTGATATTCCTGAACAAATGAGCACATTGCCCAGGGCTCTTCAGGCTGGGTTCAAGCACCAAGGGTGTAACCCCTTTCCTAGCCCCCTGCACAACTCCTCACCATCCATCATTCAAGGATATGAAAGCCACTCATTAGTTCTCATGTTGGCTCACACACTCACTCACTCATGGTCACTCATCCACGCATGCTAAGGGCCCACGAGCAATAGCTGTCCTGCCTGTACACTTCCCACTTGGCTGCCCTCCCCAGACACAACATGTTATTGTAAACTACCCTGCTCTTTAGTCCCATCACTTGTTCTTCACAGGAAGGGTCAGAACCATATTACTTCGGTTAGCTTCCTCCTTGCCTAGTAGAGCCGCACGCTGGGGCTTCAAGGAAGGCTCTACGTAGTGTTATACTTTAACACACTCCCAGCTACCCAGGGAGAGGAAGGGTGGTGCTGAGAGGTGGGCCCCGTGGCTGAAGCAAGGGCCCTGGGGTGAGGGAACAAAGCCAGAGACCCAGGATGACAGAACAAATGAAAAGAGGGGCTTCCCATGCCCATGGACTGCTAGCCACGTGGCCCTCGGCTATGTTATTTCTGAGCAAAGCCTATTCTCAGTGTGAAGGAATGTTTCTGATGGATCAAACAGACATCAGAGTGAGATTAGCCTGAAAGCTTGCTCTTTTCTCAGTCAGACGCTCCACTGGAGATAACAAAACCTGCCCACGTTTTGATTCCTGAATCGGCTTTATTTCTCTGCATAAGGAACCCTGCACAGGCAATTCAAATTAAAACAAAATAAATATATGAATATTCATGTAAAACTGTCCTCTCTAATGAACAATTATACACAATGTACAATTTCATATTCACTGGGTGGGTTTACAAAAATGTACCATTCCCAACTAAAAATGCACCAAAATGGTTCCATGCAAACTTATCAAAGTGATCAAAAATATGGAGGGGAAAACCTGACTGAGAGCACTTTGTCTTTTTTTTTGTACAATCACAGAAAAATAAAAACATCTAATTTCTCTGTTACATTTAGAGTAACTAAATGTGGCCGCTGTTTTTAATGTGGGTTTATGTTCCTAAAACATCTATGTAGTTACCATAAACGTGTATCAACATTAAACTGGGAGTTACTGAGAAAAAGAGGGGGTGTCGGCCCCCACAGCAGTCAGTAGTCGGTGTCGGAGCCCTCAGCGTTGTCCACGTTTCTCGAGAGCATGTAGTTGTCCATGTCGATCGAGCGGCAGTTGTTGATGGCGTAGCGCAGGCGCTCGGCCATGACCAGCTGGCTGGAGTAGGGCGGCAGCCTCAGCTGGAAGAAGCAGGTCTGTGAGGTAGGCAGACTGTCGTAAGGCTGTGGACAGAGAGGCCCAGCGGGGTGTTAAATGGCGGAGGGAGGCTGCCCATTCCCACTGCCCCAAAGCCAGGAAAGCACTTCTCCCTGCTTTCAAATGGGCTCCACAGACATGACTGTGTGGCCAACTCGAGGGGAAGCAGAGACTGGGCTGTGGTAGAAAGAGCTCAGGCTCTGGTGCCCCATGGCATTCACGGCTTTTAGCCAA